CCCCCCCCCCCAATAAAACGTAAAAACATCTGGGGTTTAAAGAAAAAATGTCTTTGTCACTAATCACATCAGCATGATGATGTTCCCATGTTTTTTATTCAAAGAGGGCAGAGCTGCTTGTTGACGCTTTCTGTGTACCAACATGGAGACACAGCAAAGCCTAAAAGGACCGACGGGACTGTCCAGTCTGTCACCACCCCCTCGCAAGCCCTCGCAATCACACAAAGGATCTATTGTCGAGCACAATGGGGTCACCCTCTCTGTTCTCGCTGGTCTGATCCTAGTCAGTCACTGCTCATAGAGCCTGGACGCTTTCCAGCTACAAGGATCTTCTAAGACAACGTTGAGCCTGGACAGCCTTCACTCACAAGATTCCGTGATCCTACGATTTAAACTGTCAACTATGTCAAGGACAAAAATAAAATCTGATAGATGTGTTTATGGAGAAACCTATCTAGTAGTGTTATTGTCTCGTCTCAAGACGTAACCTCAAGCTTTTTGCTTAGTGTTTGTAGTGATTTTATTTCACATAATACAAACTTAATTGCAATTTTGTGGCTATAGAAAGCTCCTGTGTTTGTGAAGGCTGGTAAAAGTTTAAAAATCACAAGTAATAATACTGATAATCCCATCTCTAATTTGACACTGGACATATTGTGAGGAGATGTGACCTTTCAATGCACTAACAAAAAAAGAAGAAAAAAAAGCTCCAACCATACAGACATCCTTAGAAGTAACACCCTGACATTCAATGACATTTTAAAGTGCAGTAAAGTGGTATTTTCGGTAAGGGTTGTGGATTGTAGATAAGAAGACTTACCTTGGAGCATGCATCTGTATGCAGACTCTGAGATGGCGTATATGTGAGGGGGCATTTCGTGCCTCTTTTTGCCCCTGTACATCTCAATGATGTTTTCGGAGTAGATGGGCAGGTTTTTGTAGGGATTTATGACCACGCAGAAGAGACCAGAGTACGTCTACAAAGAAAAGAAAACATGGTCCAGTGTTAATTCCTCAGCAGCCCTAATGCAACATTTATGACATGATTATTATATTATATTACCTTAAATGTATTGATTACAGTGGGCAGTAAATGGGCAAGGATTTGGATGTAAGGACAAATTTGTAAGTAATGTGCTTCAACAGGAAGTATATTTTGTGTCTGCAGTACATGTGTCGTCCGCATCACTTAAGCAGGAACACGTCACTATGCCAACTAAGAAAACAGACCTTTAAATTGAAATAGTTGGATTTTAACCCAAACCATGATCTTTTTCTGAACCTAACCTAGTAGACGGTAATGCCTAACCTTAATGAAGTTACGTATTTTTAATTAATAACTTGGTTCTTTAGTCTGAGCAGCAAAATCTGTTTGTCTGAACAGCATATTCATAATTCACTCCCTTTACGCTCATGAGCTCCACCTGTTCATGAGGCGATGTGCTTTTCTTGTTTGTGATGATGAGCATAACCAAAATTAGCTTCATTTTGAGCTAAGGGTTCGAATTAACAGTTTAACATAGAGATCAACAGACTTCTATTTTTTCTATTTCTTGTAATGTGCAATACTTCCATTAGTACTGTACAGTAGCAGTACAGTACTCTCAAGATGCATGGAATGAATTCAGATATGTTTATTTTCTCTGTTTTCTTTGAATTATTGTAGGGTCAATATAGAGATATAGAACTGAAATTCTATCTTGCATGGAATTCTTTTTATTACAATAGAAATGTAACCAGCAGTAGGTTATCAAGCCATAATGGTTGCTAACATAATCCTACATTGCTCAATATGGTGAATTTTTATTTGGCAGAAAGATAAAAACACACAAGTTATTCAGAGAAAGAGGCGATTGTTTAAATAACTTTCCCTGTATTAACAGGCAGGTTTTTGTAAATGGGAACATACAAGTCTGATCTAGTCCAATGTTTCCTATCAGACAATTTGTGAATACTACAAATCCTCTAAAAATCAATTTTACTTAAGAACAAACATACAAAATGTCCTGAAAGTCCCACTGTGGTGCCTATATTAAAAACTGTATACAACTGGAGATTTCTCAGTTTTCTTTCTAATATGCAGAAATAATGTTTTTCTCTGCATTAAACTGGTGGCAGGTTTACCCAGAAATCCTTTAACTAACAACAAAAATCAGAGGCAGCGGGAGGTGATTTTAATCCACAACAGAATATCTGCCTTTTAGCTAAAAAATGCAGACAGGCCAGGGCAGGGTTAATCCCTGACATGTCTGCTGCTGCTGCTGCTAGAACATTAACTAAAACTGTGTGGGGTACAGAGTGAAGAGCACATGAAAGCAGATTAATTATCTATCAGTCCTGATCAAGCCTAAAATTAAGATGCAAAGATAGTAACAATACGGCTTTGTTCCTGCCTGACACTTTATTCTCTTCTCTCCTCCTCACAACCCTTTTTAAGCTTTTACTCCTTTTTCTCTGTACTTTGAGTCTCTTTTACCTTTCTAATGTATGCGCTTGGCTGGGCTGAGAAGCCACACTCTTTAAATGATGTTGTCTGCAGCAGCCTGTGGCCCCGCTAACCCAGTTGTTGAAGTGGAACAACGCTGATGAAAGGAAAGCATGTTTTGGGTGCAGTCTGGACTGTACATGCAAGTCAGTGAGAGAGAGAAAGCCTTTCCCTTGGCTGGAGTTTCACACCACACATTCATGTAAATGCAAAACCGACAGTGTTCACATTTACTTAATTTTTTTCTGAAGTTATATTGGAGTTCAAGTTAATCGAGATCCACTTCTTGTTTTTGAAGTTCAATAAATTTACAGTAAGCCTGTAAGTGATCATGTTGGATAATAATGATGTCAACACTGGCCAGAATGACTCTGATTAGGATTTTTGCCATAATGAATCAGCCCCAGTCTGATTCAACAGCCCATTATCAGTTAAAACAAGTGTACTTCTTTAAAGTATTATTTTGTACAGTACACTGGAAATGCTCATAAACCAAAGTCATGCATATGAATACCAAAGATTATGATGATTTAAGATCTGATCCATATTGCCCAAATAGCCACTGAACCTAAGATCCTCGCACAACTTAGCACACTAAATTCAAACACTGCTGGTAATGGAGTTGCTAAAGTTGCTAAAACAGAGTTAAAACTAAAACCTGCCCAGAAATGCATACACTCCTGAGACTTACACACAGTATCACTGAAGCCCATGTGTCTGGAGGGTGGAGTAACATCACCAGATGGCCAACAACCCGTCCTCCCCACCCACTCTATGTGCACAGATGCTGTAGACACAGCTCTGCTACAATCTGGCCAACGAGAGATTTGTTTCTCTGGCAACATTAGCAGTATTTGAACACCAACATTACTATACAGTATTGGCACTGACAATCCTCCACCTAACACTTATATACTTTGCTAAATGCCATCAACTATAAAAGGTAACTTGAGCTTACAGGATGTATTTGAGGGAAACAGTCATTATATCCACTTCGCAGACCCCCTACAGTGGGCACAGCGCCAAGCAGACAGATCAGTGATCCTGACCAGCGTGGTCCACAGGCAGTGGGGAGAGGGATGACTCAGCTGGCTGTCCTTCATGGTGGACCTCAGGGGGTATATGCAAGATTAGTGGGGCTCAGGGGCAAAAGGGTTGGCTGCCTACACAACCAGGCAAAGCACGATATGAGCCAGCAAGCATCAGCCATAACACCACACCAGAGCGCTGTGGTTCATTTCAGTATCAAATGACTTTTGACTAAGTAAATCTCCCTATAGAAAAGATACCAAAGCACTCCTGTGACAAAAGTCATATTTTGATCAATACTTGTTTTAAAAAATTCAAACTTGAAAAAAATCTGGATTTATTAAAAATATGAAAAGAAGACACTTGTTTTTTTAATTAAGTGGATTGTCTTTAACTTTAATTAACACTTCATTGAATAAATAAACTATCAAAATAAACCAAATCCACCACAGCTTAGCTAAGAGTGGATCTGGGCTTTTATGGAAGGGCTAAAAGAAGCTAAAAGTACAAATGAAAATAAAATTCAATCACTTAAACAACCCTGTATAGAATCGGGTAACCATAACTAATGCATCTCAGATTGTAGTGTTCATAAACTGTGCCCAGTACCCTGAGAGACTCTGGCCAACAGAGAAAGCTTTAACACAGTCTGAAGGGCTTTCTGGCTCTTCAGAAACATCCAGATGAATTTCTGTGAACTATGCAGTGCTTAGCAACAGGATCTGACTTGGTGGGAAAAAGGGAGAAGATTTCTGGCGTCTCAGCTTTCCACTCTGACATAGCGGGGCAAACTGGACTCTAGTCTTTGCTGACTTCACACAAAAAATAGCAAATGCATTTGCATGTTTTAATTATAACCATTCGTGTCTGGATAGAAGATTTAAGTGTGCTCTAAATCTTTAGGTGCTCCTAATCTCATTCAGCAGCTTGATTAAAATATAGGAATCTGTGGGCTAACTTACATTCAAGCAACAGTGATAGCTGAGAACCCCCCCCCCAAATAAAAATGTGAGGAATAATAGCTAAAGTCACCTTGTGACACAGAAGACAATAAGTCTAGGTAACAACTTATTGTAAGAGACAGCAACCACAAATATCTCATTAAACATCCACATGCAGACCTATGGAAGGCACTGGGTCGACTAACGGAGAAAACCCAAACAACTGGCTACAATTGGAATCCAGGCAAAGCTACCATTAGTTTACACTTCTGTAGTGATGTGAATATGAATCTGTTAGGGTCGAGCAGTGGCTGTGGTTCAGGTGGCAGAGCAGGTCGTTTATCAGAATTTGAGTAACTGAAACACGTATGTGATGTTAGCATGCCATCTCCAGCGTGCAAGCTTCCTTCAGTCCACACACTCTTGAGCTCTTTCCACATTGCCCCATGGCAGCATGTTTGACACAGAATTATCTCATTTACATTCTGCAAAGAGGTTTATGTCAGCGCTATGCTATGCTGGCCTGACTTAAAAGGTCATACAATCCTCAAAAGCAGGACGGGAAAACATGCAGAGTCAGGAATGCTAAAGCAGCTGACAAACACAATGCCCCATGCATCCAACTCAAATCTCTTCAAACCCTTTGTTTATTAATTTCACACTGGAGAACACTGGTCTTGTAGAAAAATCAAAAATTAATGATAACTTAGCAACACAAATTGTACCACAGAGATTAACAGAAAGGCATTTCTATGGGCCTCCAGAACAAGCAATAACAGCAAAAAGCTTACGCACCTCGGCTGTTAATTAAAAGTCACTTTTCTCACAGTAAAAGAGAAAAAAAATCAGTTATTTGAACGCACAGATGTTGCTTATCAGTAAACAGAAAGGGCTCTGTTAAGGCAGTTTGGATACAGTGTGACTCAGCAATGATCATCCCTGAGCAAAGACATGAGGCCTGGGTAATTTCTTTGAATCTCATAAGCCTTCATTAAAATATACAAACACATTTTTTTAGAAGAGCATTTGGAGTTTTCTGCTTTTTTTTTTTTTTTTTTTACACTTTACCCTTTTAGGTCACACTTTACACTGAGTTGTTTTTACAGCACATACAGAGTGAAAATCTGGAACAGATTACTAATTTTCTTTCAGTGACCTACAAAGAGATTACATATGATCTGCATTAGAAAATGTCCTTTGATTTTTCTCATAAGGTCTGATGCTGTCCAAACACATGGCAAAACTTACAATCCTAAATCCTTCCCA